GGTGAGCTCTGGCAAGCCCTGCTTAGTTTTGCTAAGCCCTGCTGAGTTCTGCTGCGTTCTGCTGAGTTCTGCCAAGCTCACCCCCCCTATCCTCCGCCTGACTAGCATCACCAACCCCATCGTCGTTATCGCCGCGGTCACCATCATCGCCTCGCTCACCGCGCTCCACGAGGCCCCCAGGACTGCCCGTGAGGATCCCGACGGCTCACCCAAGAGGGCCCCGACGGGCCCTCATAAACATTCTACGTTGGGTGTCTGTCTCCTTGCGCCCGAGGTCTTCTCGTTCTGGCAGGCGTCAAACATGGCCCCGCAGATTCTGATGGCGGCTCTAAGACGTCCCAAAAGGCTGTCGAAACGCCTCGCGAAGCTCCCTAGAAATCTCGAAGACGGCCCCAAGGGCCCTCGAAACGGCCCCATAAGCTCTCAGCGCCCCCATGGAGGCTTTCAGAAGCTTCTCGGTAGCTCCCAGGGGCCTCTCGGGAACTCTCAGAAGCCCCCCAGGAATTCCCAAAGGTCTGCCGGGACGTCTTGCCCAGAGGCTTCGCGGGAGCTCTTTGAGGCCCTTCGGACGCGCGCGGAATCCGCGGAATCCTCTCGGGGAGTCCCAGAGCCCTGAGGTCTGAGGTCTCCGAGCTCAGGAAATCCTCTCGGGAAATCCTCTCGGGAAATCCTCTCGGCAGCTCTGAGGTCTCACTCGGAGCTCTCAGAAACCTCTCGGGTGCTCCTTTCGGGAACTCACCAGAGGCCTTTTCGGACGCTTTCAGAGGGGTCTCGGGACGTCTCTCTCCTAGGCCCTCGGACGCTCCCAGAAGCCTTTCGGGAAATCCCAGAGGCCTTTCGGGAGCTCTCCGAGATCTCTCGGAAATCTCTCGGGATGTCTCAGATACCCTTTCGAAGCTCACAGAATCCCCTTCGGGAGCTCTCCGGCCCTTTCGAGCGCTCTCAGGGCCTTTCGGTAATTTTCAGAGACATTTGGGAAACGCTCGAAGGTTTCTCGGAGTGTCTCAACAGCCTTCCGGGAGCTCCGAGGCGGCTCGCAGAAGTTTCTCGGATGCTCTCAGTGGCCTTGCGGCAGCCCTCAGCCTCTCGGATGACCTCACATTTTCTGAGGCCCCTCGAACGCTCCCAGAAGTCTTCAGGACATGTTCAGGATTCAACGATTTTTGGGGAGCCTCCTGAATTCTCAGAAGAGTTCCGGATTCTTTGGGATTTCTTTCGGATTCCCTTGTAATCCTCAGGTTGCTTTAGGCTTCCTCAGGAATCTTCTGGTCTAGTCGCGACGAGTCGGAATCCGAACGGCCCCGCCGGGAATCGCGAAGAAGTCCGCAGGAACCCAACAGGTGTCGTAAGGGTTCCGACGCGCTCCTGGGGGGCAAAATGACGAACCCGAAAGGTTACCGAAGGAGTCTTTTTGAATATCGTTGGGCGAATGTGAATCTTGCCATAAACCAACTGTGACTTACTTATAAGTTGTATTCGGTTTCCTTCACCAGTATTGACGGCCCTACATAATTACCAGCCATACATGGGCGGAACGCTTCCGGCCATAAACATGTGACCTACTATCACTATCACTACTACGACTACTACTACTACTGCTACTACTACCACCACTACTACTACTACTACTACTACCACTACTACTACTACTACTACAACTACTACTACTACTACTACTACTCTTATTACTACTACTACTACTACTACGACCTACTACGACCTACTATTACTACTACTACTACTACTACGACTGCTACTACTACTACTACTACTACTACTACTACTACTACTACTACTACTACTACTTACTACCACTACTACTACTACTACTACTACTACTACTACTACTACTACTACTACTTCTACTACTTCTATTACTTCTATTACTACTACTACTACTACTACTACTACTACTACTACTACTGCTGCTGCTGCTGCTGCTGCTGCTACTACTACTACCACACTACCACCACCCCACCACCACCACCACCACCACCACCACCACCACCACCACCACCACCACCACCACCACCACCACCACCACCACCACCACCACCACCACCACCACCACCACCACCACCACCACCACCACTCTCTACTACCTACGACCTACTACCTACTATCTACCACCTACTTCCTACTACCATGTAACGCCCCTCCAGGGGGTAGAAACCAATTGGACCAAGTGTATTTGCTGGGGCGTCACGCTGTCACCCTGCTCATCCTTTCCTCATCATGCTCGTCCTCCTCCTCATCCTTCTCCTCGTCCTCCTCCTCCTCCTTTTCCTTGTCCTCCTCCTCCTCCTCCTCCACGTCCTCCTCCTCCTCCGCCTCCCCCTCCCTACCTCGGGCGTGATGGACCATGGGACCTCATGGAGCCTCCTGGTAATCCCGGGGGCCTCCTGGGATAGCAACCTCTGGGGACTTCCTGCGGCCTCTTGAAACCTCCTGGGCTCTCCTAGGGTATCCTCAGCCCTCCAGGGGCGTCCGCAGCGTTCTGGAACTTTTGGGTCGTTCAGGATACGCCCGGAGCGTGATGGGACCTCCTGGGGCCTTGTGGGACCTCGCGGGGCATCCTGGGACCTCCTGGAGCGTCCTGGAGCCTCCTTAGGATTCCCACGGCTTCCGGGGACGTCCTGAAGCCTCCTGGAGCTTCCTGATGCCTCCTGAGACCTCCTGGGGCCTCTTGGCGGCTCTCTAAGAAGCCACGCGCGGGGCCTCAAAATTGGCGACAGTTTCAAGGATGGGAGCCTTTCCATTGAGAAAGGGGCGCGGTGGACGTTGAAAAATGACGACAGTTACACACTTGAGGCCCAAAACCGTGCCGGGCGCCCCCCCCGCCATTCCCGGTCCCGCATAGTACGGTGCGATTTGCCCCCTCCCCGCTGTCCCGCCGGTCCCCCGCAGGGCTAGTTTTCTGGTTTTCGCTGGTAAGAAACACTTCCCCCCTCCTCTCGGCGGTGACGGAGGGCAGGCGGCGGGGAAGAGCGGGTTGGCAGGGTGGCCGGTTGGGCACGGAGAGCAGGCGGAGGGGATCGGCTGGTTGGCGGGATGACAGGGTGGGCGGCTGGGCTGGTTGGCTGACGGGTTGGCTAGGTGGCGGGGTGGCTGGGTGGGCTGGCTGGCTGGTTGGACGGGTTGGCAGGTTCGACTTACTACGTACTACCTACTAACTACTACCTACTACCTACTATTTTTACTTTTGCTACTACTACTACTACTACTACTACTACTACTACTACGACTACTACTACTACTACCACGACGACTACTACTACTACTGCTACTATTACTAGCAGTTGTAGTAGTAGTAGTAGTAGTAGTAGTAGTCGTCGTGGTAGTAGTAGTAGTAGTAGTAGTAGTAGTAGTAGTAGTATAGTAGTAGTAGTAGTAGTAGTAGTAGTAGTAGTAGTAGTAATAGTACTAGGAGTCGTAGTCGTAGTAATAGATGTTGTAGTAGTAGTGTACTACTACTACTACTTCTACTACGACTACTACTACTACTACGACTACTACTACGACTACTACTACTACTACTAACACGACGACTACTACTACTACTACTGCAACTGCTAGTAATAGTAGTGGTAGTAGTAGTAGTAGTAGTAGTAGTAGTAGTAGTAGTAGCACTACTACTACAACATCTATTACTACGACTACGACTCTTAGTACTATTACTACTACTACTACTACTACTACTGTTCCGACGACTACTACTACTAGTACTACTACTACTAGTACTAGTACTACTACTACTACTACTACTACTACAACTACTACGATTACTAGTACGTTTACTACTACTACTACCACTACTACTACCACTACCACGACTACTATTACTATTACTATTACTACTACTACTACTACTAATACTACTACTACTACTACTACTACTACTACGACTACTACTATTACTACTACTACTACTACTACTGCTGCCTCTACTACTTCTGTTACTGCTCGTGCTACTACTACTACTACTACTACTACTACTACTACTGCTACTGCTACTGCTACTGCTACTACTACTACTACTACTACTACTACTATTGCTACTGCTGCTGCTGCTGCAGCTGCTACTACTACTACTACTACTACTACTACTACTTCGAATGCTGCTACTGCTAATGTTATTGCTAGTGCTTGCGCACTGCCACTTGTGGCGCTGGTCACAGGCACGTTGTGATTGTCGGGTCGCAGGCGATTGTTTTTCGCAGGCGCATTGCGGTGCTTACGGGCATGTTGCGGCACCACAGGCGCACCCCCGCCGTGGCGTGACTGGCGCGACGAACCCCCCCCCCGTCACGCGCGTGACCGGGACCGGCCCGAGTAAACGAACGAGCTCCAGGAGTGAAACGATGGAATCTACCATTGGAGGGGCGCTGATGATGAGGATGAGGATGCCGATGAGGATGATGATGGTGATGAATAAGAAAAAGGTGATGACGATGACGATGACGATGCTGATGATGATAAGGATGATGATGGTGGTAATGATGACCATATTTATTGATGATGACGGTGGTGATGATGATGGTGATGGTGATGCTGATGCTGATGCGGATGCCGATGCTTCTGTTCATGATGTACTGATACCCGTCATGCTGATGCTGATGATGCTACTGATGATGCTGATGATGATCAGGATGAAATGATGCTGTTGTTAATGATGATGACGATGCAGATGATGGTGTTGATGATGCTGATGGTTATGATGGTGAGTACTGTGATGATGGTTGTTTTTCGCGATGGTGATCTGGATGATTTTGATTTCGATGATGGTGTTTTTTGGAAAAGAATGAAACACCATCTTCATAGTATTACCATTATTATGATTACTATTGCGACGACGATGCTGGTGGTGATGATGATGACGATGCTGGTGATGGTGGCGGTGATGGTGATGATGATGATGATGATGATGATGATGATGATGATGATGATGATGATGATGATGCCGATGACGATGCTGGTGACGCTTATGATGGTGATGGGGAGGACTGTTCTTCTTAATGGAGAGACGGAGGAGGACGGCTATAATGGGGGAGTGAGGCGAGACAGCTTTTGGGGAGCCCGAGGCCTGCCCCCTCATCTTCGAAGGCCTGAAGAGGTTCATGGAGGGGCAGTGGAAGGACGCCGCCGTGCAGGGCGACGGGGCGACGGGACGAGCGAGGAGAGCGATGGGAGGCGCGAGAGGGCGGAAGGCAGGAGGGGAGCGAGACAAAAAAAGAGATTATTCTCTGCTTGTCCTTGTCTTTCTTGTCTTTCCTTCCCTCTCCTCGTTTACATCTTCCCCAGGCGCCCTCTGGCACATCCTGTTGCGATCTAGCTGCTCGGCTGTCGGACGCCCAACAGCAGCGCACTGTCGACGATTCTATTTGTACCGACGCTTTCTCGCGCAGGGGATGTCCAAAGCTTCTGAACCGAGCCACCGGTCCCTTTGCTTTTTCTCTGGGGTGCGTGGGACTACCGGGATTTCGATTCCCTCTCAACGAACCTTCGCCCTGCAGCCCTTGAGGGCTCCGAATTTCAAGCGTCCCAGCAGATGCACAGGGTTCGCGGCGTCGGGGGTGCCCCACTGACGTGTACTTTCACTGGGACGCGTGGGATTTGTGGGGTGCTAGTCCCAGAGACCTTGTTATTGCATTGGGATGCCTGGGACTCCCGGGGGTTTCTCGGACCACCTCATGGCTCCGAATCTCAAGCGTCCCAATGAACTCACAGGGTTCGCGACGTTAGGGAAGTCCAAATTATTTTCTTTCATTTGGATGCTTGGGGTTTCCTGGGTTGCTAATCCCAGACACCTTTTTTATTTTAATGGGATGCCTTGAATTCCTGGGATTTCCTTCCCTGCGACAAAACAACCAGCGTGCATCAACCCACTGTTCTGAACCCCAGAAACCATCGGATAGGAATCCCAAGCATCCCAGTAACATAACATGCTTTCTGGCACTAGCACTCCAGCAGTCCCGAGCATCCCGGTGAAATAACAGGGTTTGGGCACCTCTTCCGTCGCGAACCCTGTGCATTCACTGGGATGCTTGGGATACTGAGCCCTGGGGTGGTCTGGGCTTATGTCGGAGGGAAGAAGCTCCCAGGAATTCCAACCATCCCAAATAAACAACAAGGATTCTGGGATTAGCACCCCAGAAATCCCGAGCATCCCAATGACATAGCATGATTTGGGCGCCCCTGACGTCGCGATCCCTGTGAATTCATTTGGATGCTTGGGATTAATGGCGAGCAGTGGGCAACTTGAGCCAAGAGGTGCTACGAAGGCAGGGTGGTAAGAGAGGCAGGGAGGGAGGGAGGGAGTGAGGGAGGGAGTGAGAGAGAGAGAGAGAGAGACAGAGAGACATGCGCGTATGGAATGCGATGGGGAGGATTGGAACGGAGAAGGGGGAAGCAGGAGGAGGGAATCTAGTCAGTACGAATTGGAGTGAATAATTCGACGATCGCTGAAACATTGATTGGTACTGGGGGTCGGGCTGCACATACATGTAGAGAGAGAGAGAGAGAGCGTGAGAGAACGAGAGAGAGAGAGAGAGAGAGAGCGGGAAAGAGAGAGAGAGATAAGGATATAGTTGCATATGGACAGGTCGAGCGCAGCGCCAGTGAAACCTTAGTCACGCCCCTGGTCCTGGCGGGTCTCGGCGCGAAGCGGACGACTGATTTCGTTCGGCTGCCAGCAGCCGCCACCGCAGCTACCACCACCACCACCAGGAGGAGTGAGGAGGAGGAGGAGGAGGAGGAGGAGGAGGAGGAGGAGGAGGAGGAGGGAGGAGGAGGAGGAGGAGGAGGAGGAGGAGGAGGAGGAGGAGGAGGAGGAGGGAGGAGGAGGAGGAGGAGGAGGAGGAGGAGGAGGAGGAGGAGGAGGAGGAGGAGGAGGAGGAGGAGGAGGAGGAGGAGGAGGAGGAGGAGGAGGAGGAGGAGAGGGAGGGTCGCCCCCAGTCGCTTTCCTCTCGGAGGAGGGCGAGCTGAGGCAGCGACAGCTGGCCCTGGGGGGCCCCTTCGTTCGGGGGGGACAGGCTCGGGCGGGGACGCATCGATCCCCAATTGCCCGCTCACGTCCGGTGGGGGCCTGGCAGCCCTCCCTGCCCAGGAGCGTGTGGATTCATTCTCGGGGGACCTGCTGTCGCGGCGCGGAAGAAGGAACCCTCTTCGTTTGGGAGGGGCTCGGTGTTTTTTACTTGTTCTACAGCTCGCCTCTGGCTTTCCTTCGATGGGAAGTCGAAGCTTGACTTATGGAAAAGGGGGCCTCGTTCCTTATTTAGGGTTCCTTATGGCAGCGTTTCGACTGTATCGCCGACCTATCGGCGATGTATCGTCGATTCCAGGTCGATGCTCCCCCCCCTGAGCCGGCTCCTGCCTAGCGCTGCCCCTGGCCGCGCCCTCCCCTGGGGTACCCCCGCACCCCCCGCCTCAGGAGTGGAAGGCGGAGGGGTCCAGGCACTGCGGCGGCCCCGGCCCGCGCTCCGCGGAGGACGGCGCCGACTGGCGCGCCCGCGAGTCGTCGTCGTCGCCGTCGCCGTCGTCGTCGCCGTCGCCGTCGCGCCGTCACCGTCGCCGTCGCCGTCGCCGCCCCCCCATCACGTCTCTTCTGTTCTTCCTCCCCCTTACCATCCTCACCGTCCTCACCCTCCGCGTCCTCGTCCACGACATTTTTCTCCCTCCTCTCCTCCTCTCTTTTCCCCCCCTCGTCGTCATCCTCCTCCGCCTCCTCATCCGCCTCCTCCCCCCTTCTCGCCTTCTTGGCCCCCTCTCCCTCCATCCTCGCCCTCCCCTTGGCCCTCCTCTCCGCCCTCTTCGCCTTCCTTCTCGCACTGCTCGACCTCCTCCTCTCCCTCCTCCTCCTCCTCCTCCTCCTCCTCCTCCTCGCCCTCCTCCTCTTCCTCGTCCTCTTCGTCGTCCTCCTCCTCCTCCTCGTCCTCTTCGTCCTCCCCGCCCCGTGGCTGTGGTCGCAGCCCCGGCATCCTTCTCGCGCTCGGGAGAGGACCGCTCGGCCTCTGGGCGACTCTGGGGGCCGCCCTCGGCCGTCTCGCGCTCCTCGCTCGCCCCCCTCCTCGCACTCCTCGCCCTCCTCGCCCTCCTCTCCCCTCGGGGTCCTCCCCTCCTTCCCCTCCTCGCCCCTCGGGGCCCACCCCTCCTTCCCCTCCTCGTCCCTCGGGGCTCTCTCCTCATCGCCCTTCTCGCCCCTCGTGGCCCTCACCTCCTCGCCCCTCCTCGCCCCTCGTGGCCCTCACCTCCTCGCCCCTGCTCGTTCGCGGGCGCGGTTCTGCTTCTGACGACCTGGCGATGGAGAAACGTGGCCCGCGCAAGGGGCGGGAGCGTTGCTGCAGAGCATCCCCGCGGGGCGCCTCGGCGAGGCCGCGCCTTCGGCACCCTCGCGCGCAGCGGGTCTCCGACCGCATCGGCGAGGGAGCAGCGTGCGCCGCGCCAGAGCGGGGGCACAACCTCCGGGCGAGACCTGCGTGCGCTGCGCGCAGGCGGAGGCGGCGCCTCGCTCTCGCGCCGCAGCGTGAGCGCCACGCTCGGGCGAGCTCTGCGCGGCGGTGCGCCTGCTCGCGCGCGACCTGGCCTCGTGGTTTACATGTTGGCGAGAAGGCGTGCGTGGCGTTGAGGCGAAGACGATGCTTCCATCCCTCGTGCGCAAGGTGCGCTGTGCCCCATGCTCGCCACCAGTTTTGGTGGCGTTGGCGACAGATGTTCTATGCTGAAGTGAGGATCCGTCGACGTCGTGTTCGTTTTGATGGGCACGGCTGAGGGGCCCACTTAGGTGGGGGGAACAATGTAGCATGAAGTGGAGTCGGAGTATACCTGATTCGTGATGTGGGGGAGTTGGGGGAGGAGAGGATGCGACAAGGACGAGGAGGGATGATGGTTATGATGTCGATGTTAATGTCGATGATATGATGGCGGTGTTGGTGATGACGACGATGATTGTGATGATTCTGATGATGCTGATGCTGATGCTGATGACGATGATGATGATGCTATCATGATTATTATTATTATTATGCTGATGCTGATTTTAGTGATAACGATGACGATGACGATGACAGTGGTGATGATGATGATGATGGTGATGGTGGTGGTGGTGGTGATTCTGATGATGAAAACAATGCTGATGACGATGATGCTGGTGGTGGTGATATGCTGATGGTTGTGGTGATGATGCTGATACTGGTGATGATGATGATGACGATACTGAGTCTGACGATGATGATGATGATGATGATGATGAGGATGATGTTGATGTTGATGTTGATGGTTTTGATTATGTTTGCGATGACGCTGCTGCTGATGATGTCGCTGAATACGATGTTGCTGCTGACGACGACGGCGATGATGATGATGACGCTGATACTGATGATGATGATGATGGTTCTGATGATGAACATGATGATGATGACGATGATACTGATGATGATGGTGGTGATGATGATGGTGATGATGATTATGCTGCTGCTGCTGATGATGATGATGACGACGATGATGATGATGATGATGATGATGATGATGATGATGATGATGATGATGATGATGATTATGACGATGATGCTGATGCTGATGCTGCTGATGATGATGATGATGATGAGGATGATGATGATGATGATGATGCTATTGGTGATGATGATAATGCTGCTGCTGATGCTGATGATGATGCTGATGCAGATGCTGCTGATGATGCTGATGATGATGGTGATGATGATACTGATGATTACCAGGTGTTTCGGTATGGGGCCCAATGTTACTGTGCAACTGCTGGCGTTTGGCTCAACTAAGTGTAGCCGCCATCAGGCGGAGTGACACACCTTTGTATTTTGATGTTGGTCGCTTAGTGCATAACAGAACACCGTCTTTATTACGACCGCTCTGCTGATATTGCATGGCAGCGGAGCGACCTTACGGCAACAAGAGCGGGTACAACGATACTACCACACGACAGGATTTTATATACCACATGATTGTCAATTTCGGGCCACGAGCTACCTGAAATAATAACGTTGTACAGATGACCAAGACTTGCCCACCGAGCACGCGATATCACTGCTGAGGATGTGTGGGGAACCTAACTTAGCGTTGCTGATCATGATCGATTGCGAGAACAACCATGATGCAGGGACCGCGTAAGTAAATGCGTGAGTCGCCGAGTTGAAAATCCGCCGGCCCCCTTGTGGGGCCACCAGGCTGTAGGACGAAGCTTCGCAGTTTCCTGTACCAGTTGCAGCTTCCAGTTTTCACTGTTACAGTTCTGCTTCTTGCTGCTTACTGTTCCTTGATACAGTTCTGGTTCTTGCTGCTTACTGTTCCTTGTTGATGGACCGCGCGAGGGGGGGAGGCCCAAAACGGGCATTTTTACCACGCCCTGAGCGTGTTGTCTGAATTGCTGGGGTGGGTAAGAGTTGACTCCACAAACACATGGGATTTGCCACATTTTTGACATTTGCTGGCACCCCTCACGCAGATCGGTGGGGTCAGGGTGCAAAAGCACATGGGATATGCCACATTTCTGACATTCGGAGGCACCCCTCATGCAGATCGGCGGGGTCAGGCTGCAAAAACACAAGGGATTTGCCAAATTTCTGACATTCGGTGGCACCCCTCACGCAGATCGGCGGGGTCAGGGTGCAAAAGCATATGGGATTTGCTAGATTTCTTACATTCGGTGGCACCCTTCACGCAGATCGGCAGGGTCAGGGTGCAAAAACAATTGGGATTTGCCATATTTTTGAAATTCGGTGGCACCCCTCACGCAGATCGGCAGGGTCAGGGTCCAAAAACACAAGGGATTTGCCACATTTCTGAAATTTGGCGGCACCCCTCACGCAGATCGGCAGGGTCAGGGTCCAAAAACATAGGGAATTTGCTACATTTTTGAAATTCGGCGGCACCCCTCACGCAGATCCGTAGGGCCAGGGTCCAAAAACACAGGGGATTTGCCACAGTTCTGAAATGCGGTGGCACCCTTGATGCAGATCCGTAGGGTCAGGATCGAACAACAAACAGGACTCGACACGGCTTCACGGCGGCGCCCAGACCTCATCATTTAGCTTTTGCATCTCCCATTATCCGAGACAGGGGGCCGGCGGCATGGGGCGAAGCCCTTACGGATAATAATCGAGGAACACATGAACACCGACGTAATCTTCGGTCAGACAGCTGAAAAGGTAGCATCTGGCGAACGCAAAGCTCACCAACGATCCGTGAGCGAATCGACGTCCTGAAGTCTCAGGGTTGGGTTTCTTGTGGACGGTTCCTTGTGGACTGGCCCCCATTGTACCGTTCAAGACAAACGCTCTGACAATCATAATGGCCCACGCCGGGGGTTGGTTTGATGACTGGCAGCGGGACTGTTTCAAGTCGCCCGGTCCCTAACCAGCGAATCGTATCAGACGCTATATTTTCGACGCCAGGATTGGGCTCGGACAGAACGGCTGGATTCTGACGCGAGGAACAGCGACGCAATGGACATTGGGGGAGTCGGGTAATAGGAAGAGCGCCTTGAACCATGAGCCTACCAGGGAAGGTACCGCAGAACATATGATTAGGGAGGCAACTGGTGGCCCATGGACGAAGAAGGTAACCTAGGTTAGAATGTCGACCAAGGTTCGGGTGAAGGAGACGTGGGTCCAGTCAGCAAAGGTAAAGGCGGAACAATAACAATCAGCTGCAAGCGCGGCAAACTTCGCCTTGTGGCCAGGGGCTGCAGAGTCAGAGGTGGAGGTATGAATAGCGGCACAGGGAAAGGGCGCCCAAGCTGGCAGACACGCTATTTCAAGGGCAATTACGGTAGCTACATGGGGAGCTGGTAAGCAATCAGGACACTAGGGTGTTAACGAGGTGGCAAGGGCTACGCGCCCATGGGTGAGCGCGAATGCTACGAGTGCGGATTAAAGGGTCGCAATGCAGCCGACTGCTCTGAGGGTTCCAGCGTAGTTGGACAGGCCAGCAATAAACAGGGAACCTGTAACCTTGGGCAGCCTCAGCCAGGAATGTGCCCTGGATGCAACGCCGTCACCTGGGGGTGCCCCGATCCACCCGAAGCTCAATGGGAACCACCAGCCAGAGTAAAGGATATGCTGGCATGTGATATTGTGCACTGACTCAAATGTCAAGACATGATGTGCCATAAACACGGCCACTGCGAGGCCATTGGGTTCAGAGATAGCGATGCGCCTGTTACCTCGCATTGGTAGAGGTAACCTGTGAACGCTGCTTCTAAGGACAGTCCAGAATCTAAAGTGGAGACCGAGGTGGTTGCCGTCGACTCAGGAGCTTGCGACGCAGTCGGACCGCTGGATGTCGGCGCGCACATTCCAGTAAAGTGGACGGGGGCCTCGATAAATGGTCGCCGCTGCAGCGCTGCCAATGGAGTCGTGGTAAAGAATCACGGGCAATGAGTAATCGTGTGGCGATGCGAAGCAGGGGGCACGGTTATTATGCCCACGCAAGTTGCCGACGTTGAGAAAATGTTGGGTCGGCGCGTGAAATGA